AAATTAATGAATAAACATGAAAATATTTTATATATTAATTTAAATCTATATAACAAAATATACTTGATAAATAATTATGAATATATAAATTATATTATAATTAAAATACATAAGAATTTTTTTTAATATATAAGTCATTTTTAGATTTATGATAAATGATTTGTATTTTGATGCAAGATTATTTTTAACTATTGATAATTTCTTTTAAAAGAATATTAAAAAAATCTAAAAACATTTTTGTTGAAGAATAATTCCTAAAAATATTATCATTTAAAATAATTGTTCTAGTTCACATATATAAAGAATATATTATGTATATATCACTTATACAAGTTTTAAAAGGAAATATTAAATAATTGAATTATAATATGATATTATTTCATTAAAATACAATATTTAGTATGTAAGAAACTTTTAAGACTTATCCTCTATGAAAAAAATTAGATTTTAATCGGTAATAGTCATAAATTGTGTATGTATCACGCTCACATTTCTCTACATTTTCCTTAACGCCCTACACTTTAGGTGTTATCCAACTAAAGTACGAATATAGAATTATTTAGAGAGGAAGACTGGTCCTTAATTTGTTTAATATTACTTCATCAGATATTAAAACTATATACTAAAAGATGCAAGTTTTGTTGACCTGAGACAGTTACTGAAAATTAGATTAATAGTGTGGACTTCGTTGAAATCAAGGTAGATTAACATATAAACCATTGGCCGAGCAAGTTCATTATTTTAATCCTTTATAATGATTGAGAAGAAATCGACCCAAAAAATAAAGATTTCATATACAAATCACTTAAGAATTTTATATCTAGACTCACTTTTGATCCAACTTGACTTTTCCTACCAATGCTCTCGGGTGATGTCTCTAAAATTCAGAATTGATTATTGGATTTTTGTAAAAACAGAAAAGAAAAAGAAATGAGACATGCAGAATACAAAACGTAAGAGTGGTTGGATATTTAGACTTTGATTTTGGAGGGTGCACCTATGACATAAATTCATATCTGGTTATATTTTGATGCTAGCAAATCCATTAAGTAAGAAACTTAGACTCAGTTTTCACATGGCACGTTGAGAGCAAGGTTGTATAAAGTTATTTTGATATTATTCGTTAGTGGGAGTGTTTTATTTAATAATTAGTCTAATGTTAATCTTTTGGCATTATTAGTATTGTACCATAAATTAATAATTCTGAGTATTGTTTATGATTGTGGATTTCTTGCATTGCTTGGTATACTTGATTTTTAATATATGTATGTACCTTACGAGGGTATTGACAAGTTTGCATCGTATAATCAAAAAAAATTTTGAGAAGCGTGTTAGCCATTTTTGCTGAAAGTGAGTATGGTGGACTTGGCATCTAAAGTAGATTGATCATCCAATATGACCAACACCAATACACAATTTATCCTTATTATTCACATGTGTTTTATGATCATATATGCTATCTCTTATTTTGCTTACAAAATCAGCATAAGACAATAGAGATTACACATGGATAATCAAAGAGGAGGCAACTGGAGTAAAAGACAACTCAGTTCACATCAGGTAAGAAGGGAAAATGAAAATAAATTTCCAATGGCTACGTGTTGCTCAAATTTGAGCCAAGGGTGACTTCATGTCTTTCTTACTACATGTGGCAAGAGCAAAATTAAAAAAAACAAATCCTATCATATATATACATTGTTTAAGGAGTAAGAACCGTTACATATTTCCTCTTTTCACGGCTCCAACTGGTGTTGATTTTCTTGATCAAGCAAAATCTGGAACAAAAACATGCATTATGTAAGCACCAAGTTTATGCATACACCAGCAAGTAAACACGCATACACCAGCAAAAAAGAAATGACCTTTACCTTCAACCTGAGCCCAGGTTTGTGCGCAATCATCAATCTTGAAGATGCATGCATTCCAAACAGTGTCATTAATAATGCCACGTGAGTTGCTAGCATTGCCATTCATGTGGATCAAGATTCAAGGTGGAGTGATCTATAATGATAAATGACTGAATGGTGCAGATGCTGAGGCAGCAGCTGCATCTACTATTAATGATATAGATTGGCGAGCTTGAAGACAAGCGCCTATATCAAATGGAAGCAACTTAGAACCATCAAAAATAAGATTAACACCAGGAAGGATTGCTTCTTTACTATCATTTTCTTCTGGTTCAGTTTTTATCGTATTGGCCTCAGGGGATTCTTTAGTTGGTCCTTTGGCAGCTTCATGAGCAGGAGTTAAAGCATACGATCTGCACGCACCATTCATAGCAGACACTTCCTGAGACTTTGGATGATTAGGAAATCAATATTATGAGCCTTGCATAAAACAAACTTTCTGTTTTTTATGTTTGCCAATATAATGCTAATAGAATTTTATCTAAACCTAAAAGTTATGCAATTTTAAGCATTGAGTTAATAAGAATTCAGCAACAAACCTAAGAGCTCTGTCATCACAGCTAAACACTTCATTTTGGCAGCATTGCCGATTAACAAGTTTTAACCTCTGACGTGCACTTAATACTCCTGAAATGGGAGAAAGATCCACAATTGGATTCCATCTTCCACAAGCATGACTCATTAGCTTTCCAAAGGGATGCTCTTTCTGGTAAAGAAGCTTTGCAGTAGGACCTGTCGATTGGTACTCATCACAAATGTCAAGCAACTTTATTCTTAAGTTTTGCATTGCATCATGGTGTTCACCAAATGAGCCACACTGAAGCATCTCCGATGAAACTATCCTTCTACATATACTATCGCACAACGTTGGACTAAATAGTGGCATACCAAATTCCACACTCAATGGCACCCATTCATATTTCTCTTCGGAGGAGAATTGGTCTGACTTTGTTCCGTTAAATAATTTCAATAGCCGGATATAACCAACAGTCCATAGTTCCATTTTGTTTGCCAAATTACTCAACAAAGAATTTAACTTAGAAATTTCCCCTTCTTTAAGTCCTAAATCTTTTCCTACAGAGGCAATTGATCCATCAGCATTCTTTAAAGGCAAAGGGATATCCAAAGTAATCAGTTTTCCAAATTCATCGAGATCAAACCTACTGAGAGGTAGCACCAGCACAGCTGAATGTCTAAGAAGTGAATTTAAGCAATGCAAGAGTATACTTCCCTTCACCAAACTTCCTTCAAGCTTCCTTCCTATTCCTCCTATTGTGGAACCATCCCAAGACCATATAAGGGCCTTCTCAGAGCCAGCCAATGGAGCAGGAAGCAAGCGCAGAAACTGTCCTTTCATCAGAACAACTGATAGAGGACCACTACATGCAGTTGAATATAATACCAACTTCATCCAAGGACTCATAGAAGAATATGCGGGAGGACCAAAATGAACTGGACCTGAAGGTCTAGGAAGAATTGATGAATGGGGGAGAGGCACTATAGACACAAGTATACCATAGTCACGAAGAAACAAACGGTCAAGAGTAGCTGGTGCAAGAGAAGCCAAACTTTCAGAGCGTAGAAGGTCTACGTGATATTTCTTTTTCCTTTTTACCATTTCTGTCTTGACATCTGAACCTTCACATACTGTCAGTTTCTCATTGTCATGCAATTTTGTGTCTGATTTGTCAGCTTCCTGAATGTGATCATTGTCATTTTCCAAAGAAATGGAATGAGTTCCATCATCCATTCCACTAGGAACACGTTCAGTGTACACAGAAGCCTCCACGAGCTTCTCTGAATCAGAATTTACCAAGTCCACTTTATGTATCACAGCTTCTGAAACACCAGATTCTTCTGATTTTTCAACCAAAGAGATTTCAGTTATCACAGAACTTGGCCCATCATTGCTTGAGGTAACCATATTCAGCTCTTCAGAACATCCCTCTTCTTTTTTATTGGTAGCTATTCCACCTGATTGTAGGCATTCCAAGACACAACGCAGACTAAATAAATGATTTGCAAATTCCTGTAGTTCTCCCTCATATGTTGCACCCTCCAGGGTACTAAGATCCTTGCAAAGATCAGAAATGCTGGCATGACCCAATTTCCCCGCTTCATAAAGTGTAACAGCATGAGATTTCAAGCCTGCAAAGTTTGGCGAGAAATATTATGATTTGGTCTAACGTACTAACCAATTCTGAGACACATAATAACAAGATAAACAAAATCATAATGAGTAGCCATATTCATTTTATTTTCTTCTGAAGACATTATCCAAATTTCCTTTAAGAATATTAGAATAATATAATTATTAAAAAAAAAACTATACCAAAAATTAAGCTTCATGAAAGGAGGAGTGAAGGGGATAAACCTGGTGAAACAGATCCCATCATAAGATAGGATGTAATATTAGCATCAACTATGAAAGCAACACGAGTGTAGGCAGAACGAGGTCCATGGCTCCCTGAAACTGAGGTGTCCCCATGTTGAATGGAGTCATTATCAAAAAGCGTATTCTCATAATTTTGACTAGCAACAGAAACATCTTCGTCATTGATTGTACTCATTGGAGATGCAAGAATATTTGAATCTCCGATAATAGATTCTGGATCAAGTACTTTTGTTGCCCATCCCAATCGACACACAAAAGCAGCAGCAGCCTGCAGCAGTGACAAGTCAGCCTGTAGGGTTGCTGCCAACTCCTTAACAGTCACGTTTTCATTTGAAACTACAAAAACTGCATACAACAACCTGAAACAAAAGCTCTAGCATTAGACTCCAACTATATGGAAATAAGATTTTTCAACCAAAATGATGGAAACACAGACTGAAACAACTACTTTACTCTTCAATAGGATCTTCATAAGACTGCTCCCTGTTGGAAACAAAACCTTCAAGCCTGGAAACTGAACCACCATAAATATAAATATATTGAATCACATTAATAAAGAGACAGTCTTTGAAATCACATTAATATTCCACTATTTTTATCTGTGTATCACATAATGATTTTGTAACCAAATTGATTATAAAACCATGCATAGTATGACATACTGGAGTCTTTTAGAAAATTTGAATAATTGCGGTACTTTAATACAAAATAAAAACCTTAAAAAATACGTAATTTTCAAACTTTTTTTTTTAATTCAATAAGTGGAATGCTCTTAAATATCAAGTATGTATCCACAACAATAAGAACTACACGTAGGAAAAAGAGTTTCCGTTTAAAAGGAACGGGAACATAATTGAAAGTATACCATACACACCGGATCTGGAAGCGATTAAGTTACTCTCAAACCTCACCCTTCATTTTTTTTTTAATTTAATGGACAAAAATGAGTTACTCATCAAAACCTAGGGGTGGGTTTGCGGACCGGTCCGGCCCGTTTAAGGCCCGGTCCGCGAAGTCCGCATTTTTAACAGGCCGGATAAATCTGGTTCGCAAAATAAATGGACTTAAATCTTTAAGTCCGTATTGACTCAGATTTTAAATTTTTTTTTCCTTTATTTAACCTATGAAAACATGAGAAAAAAAAACATATAAAATGATATAAATATACTTCAAATAATAACATCAAACATTGTAAATAATAAATCAAAGTCTTAAATAACAAAGTTTACACATTCTAAATTTCTAATAGAAATATTTAAGTCTCAATGCCTTTAAAATTTAAAGTACAAGCATACCAACTATTAACCAAATATTAAAGTCTTACTACCTTAAAACTTTAAAAGTCTTAATACACAACCAAACAAATATAAAACATTTGTAAGTCCAAGTACATCAAAGTCTAAATACCTTAAAACATCAAAGTCTTAATTAATATCTTAAAAACAAACATAAAATATTTGTAAGTCCAATTACATCTATCAAATATAATCAAGCATCTTCAATAATAAAATTTGAGTCCACATTTAAACGGGTAATCCGCGGGCTCGCGGATTAAATCCGCAAAATCCGC